GGTACCCGCCGAGCTTGGCACGTACGCAGACGTGGTATCCGCGTACTCGCAGGCCGTGGCAGTGGTCAAGAAGAGCTGGAAGGGGGGTGCGTACGCGGAGGAGGCGTGGGCGGCCCTGGCGGCGGGGAAGGGGGCTGAGGGGGCGCGGCTGATGCACAAGCTGGTGGCGGAGAGGGGCATCCCAGTCGGGAGCGTGGTGCTGAACGGGAAGCTGCAGGTGACCCTGGACGTGGAGGAGGCCCTGATGCAGATGCTAGGGGAGGAGCAGCAGCTCCTGAGTCAGATGGTAGGGGCGGGGACGCTGAAGGACAGCACCAAGAGCGTGCTGGGGGCTCTGCTCAAGGGACCCGGGGTCATGGAGCGCTACCACCCCTGGATGGACGAGGACCTGCGGCGAGAGGCGCCTGCGGTCATGTGGTTGGGCGGTGGGAAGGGCGGGAGGGCGAGGGAGCTTGTGGAGCGCTTGGACTACCTGCACCCCCCGGGGACCCGGGCAGAGGTCAAAGCCCTGACCGTCGTCCTCCAGGGTGATCTCGGGAGCGCCGAGGGCCTCGCCAGCGCCAGCGCCTTGCTCAGCTTCCTGCGTGGAGGGCGTTGGAGGTCAGAGGAAGCCGCGGCGGTGTCCAAGAGGAAGAAAGAGGCCCCTCGCTGCGCTTTGGTCCACACGCCTGCCCCCACGGCGGCGGACAAAGGGGGCCTGCTCGCGCACATGACGCGCGTGGTCTCGTGTCGGTCGGAGGCGGGGGAGGAGAGGGAGGACGTACTGCTCCAGGTCTTGGAGAGGCTGGCGATCTTTTTGCGAGCGGAGGAGGGTGAGGCGGCGGAGGTGGGGGAGCGCCCGAGTGCCTACGACCGGTTCCTGGACGTGCTCAAGAAGGAGAGCGAGGCGGGAGGACCCGCGCAAGGACCTGAGGCGAGCGCATTGCTCCGGACGGCGGAAGAATTGAGGGAGGACGCGACAGAGGGGTTCCGCAAGGCGAGCGCCCAGGAGCAGTCGAGGAACTCGGGGTCCTCGCCGCGGGAGGGTCTGGGTATCCAGTCGGCGGACGGGGGGGAGGAGGAGGGGAGCCTGGCCCTGGTCGTCAACGGCCGACAGGTGGACTTGGGGGGCAAGGCGCTCCATCCCTTGGACATGGAGGTCATCCTCAAGCTCGAGTCTCAGGTCTTCACCCTGCCGCTCCTGGCCCTCTGCAATCCGCGCGCGTCTCCGGACGCGGGAGCCGCCCAGGCCTCGCCTGCCACCGCTCGGAGGATTTCGGACCTCGTCGCGGTGGCCCACTCCTTCCTGAACGTCTATGCCCGCCACCCTCGCGTGGACGTGGAGGGGCACCTGAGGCTCTTGCAGGACTCGCCCGCCGAAAGCCTCCTCCTCGACCTCCAGCCCCTTGGGAGCGCCGGGGGCCGGGTCGGCCAGGAGGATGACCCGGTCCTCAGCAACTTGTCCGTCACCGTGCTCCTGGATCCCTTGGGGGAGGCGGCGCAGCGTCTGGCCCCCATCTTGACCACTCTGCGCGACCATTTCCACCTGCCCCTCCGAGTCCTCCTCGCGCCCCACCCGGAGCTCAGCGAGTTTCCTCTCAAGAGCTACTACCGATTCGCCCTTTTCCCCACCCGCGAGACGCATGTCCTCTTCCAGTCCCTCCCCCCCTCCCTGGTTCTCACCACCCGCGTCGACACCCCCGAGGCCTGGAACGTGCAAACCCGCCAGGCGCTCCAGGATCTGGACAACCTGAAGTGCGAGCAAGGGGAGACAGGGCTTGTCTGCGGAGACAGGGAGGGATCCAGCCACACGTCCGCCGAGTTGGTGCTCAAAAACCTGTTGGTCTCGGGCCAGTGCTTCGACGCCAAGCTCTTGGAGCCGGTGAACGGGCTGCAGCTTGTGTTGGTGGACGGCTTGGAGGGGGCAGAGGGCGGGGAGGAGACGGCCGGCCGGCGCCAGCACCACTCCGACACCTTGGTCATGCAGAACAATGCTTACTTCCAGCTCAGAGCCGACCCAGGCATCTGGAAAGTGCGGCTGGCGGAAGGGCGGGCGAGGGAGCTGTACGAGGTGGTTCGGGAGGACCCGACGGGGCGGGCGCTGGTGCGCGTGCCCGAGCAGGAGCTGGTGGTGGCCAAGAGAGATTTCACGAACGCCTTGGAGACGCTGCGGGTGCAGAAGCAGGCGGGAAAGGAGGACATCCCCCTGCTGGACGAGATCAATCAGGACGAGGCGGAGGGGGGAAAAGAGCAAAGGGAAAGCAAGACCTGGTCCACCCTCTCCAACCTGTGGGCGGGGAGAAAGGCCGAGGTGGAGGGGAAGCCGACGGGGGAGGGGTCGGGCGAGGAGGACGAAACGGTCCACGTGTTCTCTCTGGCCACCGGCCATCTCTACGAGCGGATGCTCAAAATCATGATGCTCTCCGTGAGCAAGCGCACCAGCGTCCCGGTCAAGTTCTGGCTGTTGGAGAACTTCCTCTCCCCCGCCTTCAAGACCGCCGCCCTGGCCATGGCCGAGCACTATAACTTCCAGGTCGAGTTCATCACCTACAAGTGGCCCGACTGGCTCCGGCAGCAGACGGAGAAGCAGCGCATCATCTGGGGATACAAAATCCTCTTCCTCGACGTGCTCTTTCCCCTCTCCGTGAAGAAGATCATCTACGTTGACGCGGACCAGGTCTTGCGCGCCGACTTGAAGGAGCTCTGGGACCTGGATCTCAAGGGTCGGCCCTACGCCTACACCCCCTTTTGCGACTCGCGGAACGAGACGCTCGGCTTCCAGTTCTGGCGGTCGGGGTACTGGGCGACCCACCTGCAAGGGCGGCCTTACCACATCTCCGCCTTGTACGTGGTGGACCTGGCCCGGTTCCGGCTGATGGGCGTGGGCGACAAGCTGCGCGCCGTGTACGACCAGCTCAGTCGAGACCCGAACTCCCTCGCGAATCTGGACCAAGACCTGCCGAATTACACGCGTAAGTGCCCACAGACGCCGCGCTTTGAGGTGGGGTGTGCGTGCGGGTGCTTGCACGTCCTGCGGGTATCATCACGCACAAGGCGGATATCGGAAGCCTTACTGGAACTAACTCATTCCCATCGCATCACACCCGACAGAGCACATGATCCCCATTTTCTCCCTCCCTCAAGAGTGGCTGTGGTGCGAGACCTGGTGCAGTGACGAGAGCAAGGCGCGGGCCAAGACCATCGACCTCTGTAACAGCCCCCTGGCCAAGGAGAACAAGCTGCACATGGCGCGGCGGGTCATCTCCGGCCCTCTCTTCAATGAGTCTTGGGTGGAACTGGATGAGGAGGTGAAGGCCTTGGTAGGGTGAGCACAAGTGCGGAGCGGAGTTTTGCACGGTAGAATAGAGCGATAATAGACAGGGGGCCGTGAGAATAGGGGGCACGGGCATGAGAGTCTCGTGCGGGGTGTGGCAACGAGACAATGGCCCGGTCGGGGCCCACAGGTGTCTCTTACAGTAGACAGTAGATCGCCCCCTAAAAAGTAAGAGCTACACGACCGACGATCGCTTGTTGCGTCTCGCACGTCTCGGCTCTCAGTCCACCGCGATTTGTTTCGTCATTTTCGAGCACAACACATGTATCCACAAAGTTCTTTACAATCCAGACAGTCATCACTCCGATGGCTCTCCTCCTGAGGGCGCCTTCCGCGTCTACGCGTATCCGTCGTCCTCCTCTGCGGCCCCCCGGGCGATCCTAGCGGCGGCGTGGTCCATCACGCCCTGGCCCTTCCTGAAGAGGAAGGTGGTGAGCGGGTCGCGGGAGAGGGCACAGATCATGTTGTGCGCAGAGAAAAAGGGTGTTCGAAATGCAACCGCCACTTTCTCCCATCCCAAGGCATTCAGTTGTGCGGCCATGCGGGGCTCCATCCAATCCCGGTTTGAGTCGTCCGGCACTGCCCCTCCGGCCACCGCGGGCACTGAAGCCAGCCTCCCCCTTCCATCGGCCCTCTCTTTCATAACCGGGCTCGCACCCTGCACGGACCCCTCCACCTCCTTCAAGCCGTCCTCCCACGGCGCGGGAGGCATCGCGAAGACCTCCATTCGGACGTCTTCTCTCGCCCCGTCCGGGAGGACCACCGTCTCCTTGAGGATGTGTCCAGTGCCCTCCATGCTCTCCGGCCCGGGGTGGAACAAGGCCGTCCCTATCGGCACCAGCAGGTCTTCTTTCACGTTGCCGTAGGCGCATCGATGTCGAAAGGCAGCCAAGGGCTCAAGGAACTTCGTGCTCTGGGCCATCTCCAGCAACAACGGCGTCTCGCCTTCCCCTCTGCTCCGTAAAATCAAATCGTTCCCCGTTTGCCCGATAAACAAGGGAGTTGCGACATGCACAAGGTCCGGCAAGGGTACAACCGTGAAGCGGCGTACTCCCAGATGAGGCGTGGCGATGGACATGAAGGTAATCGGCTTCAGGCCAAGGACCGTGCGTGTTCGGGGCTCCCACAGCAAAGAAAGAGCGTAGCGAGAGTACACTCCACCGAGCGAGTTGCCGATAAAGCTGATGGCACGCAACGAGGGATGGGCAGCGACGACCTCTTTAATTTCGGCCGCCAGGCGTTCTCCTCCTTTGACGACACCGTCCATGGTCTTGTGCAGGTTGCAGTGGGCTAGATGCGGAAGGATGCGGCCTTGGCCCCTTGAGCCAATCGCGTTCCCCAAATATGTGAGATCAGCGGGCCGGCCGTGAAGTCCATGAACAACTACCGCTAAATGCGTGGGCTCGGGGACAGAGTTGACCGGTATGCTTGTGCTCGAGGCATGTGAGGCTGGGGCGGCAAAACTCTCCGCTGACGGCATTGCAAGGCAACACGAAAAAAAGACCAAAGCGAGCCGTCGTGGAAGGCGGCAGGATGCCGACTGCCTGTATATCATCCAATTTGAACAAATGCCTGTGTTCGCCGGTGTCCGAACGGGGTTGAGTGGTTTTGACGTTCAATACGTGCGACGTCTCGAGCGACACGAAAGTGTCACATCACGTTTTTGGCGGAGACCGAAGCTTCGTGTGCTACCGATATCAGAAACTCTGTGAACACGGAATTTCTAGGCGCCTCTTGGATCTGAACGAAGACTACTCAATGTGTATGTATGATGATTTTATCATAAATTATGCGGGTTGGTGGGGTGCGAATCCTGCTGCTTTGCACGGTCCCAAGACTTCATGAATAGGGCGTGGGGCGCGGGCTGCGTCATCCCGTCCATGATTCCGTGCCCGGCCGCGCTTGGAGGCTATAGATGGATGGACGTTGTTCTTATTGCCTTTGCCAGCTTCGGAATGAACCACGAGGCTTCATGTCCATGGCAGCTTTAAGATGAGGTCGGATGGCGTAGAACAAAAGGATGCGTCGCCTCCAGACAGGGACGAAGAAGATTAAGATCGAGGCCCGGTAGACCTGGCCTCAGTTTCAAGCTCATTTGAGAGACTGCAGGAGATACGGCGAAAACTCACATCTCAGTCTCACACATAAAAGAGGTTGAGAAATACTGCCGTCCTGGACTTCGTATTCGTCGCTTTGTGTGACAAGACTGCGCCAGAGAGCGGGATCAGAGCGACCCCTCAACGAACGACCGGGCGGAAAGCCTCCTTGACGTGCAGCCCACTCCGTGGCCATCGAGCTCAAAATATGCCACAGCAATCGAAGTTGGTGTCGCGTGGGCAGGCGTCCGCACGGGAGGAAAATTGGTTCGAGTACATGATCACGCACCATCGATGGGTCTTCTGCATTTTCCTGCTAATGCCCCTCTCTCTCATGTTTGGTGAGTGTGCTAAGAAGGGGATATCACGAAAACTGCCACGGGAGGTATCGTTTTACTTGAGAACAGATCTTTTTTGACGGAACCACGCGGGTTCCTTGACGTGGGATGTGCGTCGTTTCAATGCTTGTTCCATTCCCCATCTTTCATCATCCTCGTCATCTCCTCTACCATATTTTGCTCTCAGACATAGCTTTGTACATTCGAAACGGTTTACAATTCTACATGAGGAACTGGGCGCCAAAGCACCACGACGCAAAGGTGGAGGACATTAAAAAACAGGTGTGAGAGAGGGAGAGGGAAGTGTCTGCTGGTGCTGGGAGGAATTCCTTTGCTTGGAGAGCCCACCGAATGCACGTTACCTGCACAACACTGAAATCAATGTTGCTAAATGCCGGATCGAACGGCTGGGTAGAAGAGAAGTGCCCCAAGCGCCACGGATTGGGTTTCAATGCCACATTGAAAGTCAATCCCTCATCCACCGGCTCGAGGGTGGCCCTGTCCCCTGTGGACCGATGACGAGTCTCACTCGATTCTGTGGTGGGAGTGGCCGCGGAGGGGCTGACAGCTACGATTCTGACATGAGCCTGAGATGCATGTGTTGCCGGGTCACACGCCTGCTCTCTTCCCCTCGAAGCGGGCAGGCGCTGTGACGACCCGCGCATTGGCCTTTCGGCCGCGCTGTCCCTGCGCAGATTCCACTGCTTCAGTGTCACCGTAGCCTCATATCTGAGCTTCTATCCCCCTTCCCCTCTTTTCTCCCCAAGATCCGCGAGTGGGCCCTCCACGACGGCAAGAACAAGCTATGCACGGCCCGGCCGGGCTGGCAGACCATGTCCCTCCGCGTCGGCAAATGTAAGGCCAGCGCGTGAGCCTGGAGGCTGCCAGGGCTTGCCCCAGTGACCTCGATATCGGCCCTTGCCCGTGTCGTAGCACTCGTGGGGGCCCCCGACCCCAAGTGTCCCTCCACTGACGGAACCTGGGTCCCTCCCTTTCCCCTCCTCCTCCCCTTCTCAGATAAGAAGACTTTCAGAAAGATCAAGCTCGACCTCCACGACATCCTCTCCATCAACACCAGTGGCCCCGCACCCTCGGTTCGCGTGGAGCCCTTGGTCACCATGGGCCAGCTCACCGCCGCCCTCCTGTCCTTGGGCTGGACGGTCCCCGTGCTGCCCGAGCTCGACGACCTGACGGTGGGCGGCCTGATCGCGGGCGTCGGCGTCGAGTCTTCCTCTCACATCTACGGACTCTTCCAGCACATCTGCATGCAGTTTGAAGTGGCCTTGGCCGATGGCTCGGTTGTCTTCTGCTCTCCCGAGAAAAACCCGGAGCTTTTCTACAACATTCCCTGGTCTCACGGCACCCTCGGCTTTTTGCTATCGGCGGAGATCCGGATCATTCCCGCAAAACCTTACGTGAAATTGCAATACTATGCCTTTACGAACGGAAAAGAGGCGCTAACAATGTTCGAGCGGGAAAGTCGGAAAGGTGTGAGGAGGCCTGCGCTGGCAGGTACGCAAGTTGCCTTATCGGAATTCGCGGAGGGAAGGGCGGTAGAGCCGAGGGGAGGGAAGGAGGTGAATGGGGGGACGGGCGGACCGACGGGAAAAGGAGAGGGAGATGTGCCATCGCCGTCCTCCACGTCGGGAGGGCGGGT